ATATATATTCACCTTAAAAATAATTCTATTTATAACAAATACATTGATTTTTTTTAAATTTTTCATCCGGTGTCCGATACCCATATTAGGACCACTCCTTAACAGAAGCCAGTGACTAAGGAAGAAGTATGGGAAGCATTGGAGGAAATAAGTAATTTAAAAGCCCCAGGATATGATGGTTTTAATGTAGTGTTTTTCAAGAAATCCTGGCAAATTATAGGAGAGGATGTGACACAGGCTATATTGGAACTCTTTGAAACAACTCAAATGTATAGACCTGTCAACTGTACAGCTATTACCTTAGTTCCTAAAGTTAGGAATCCTGCTAGCATCAAAGAGTACATACCTATCTCCTGCTGTACTGTGCTATACAAAGTAATTTCCAAGGTTTTAACTAAGAGGCTGCAAGGAGTCATGGATACACTGATTGATAGTACACAGTCTGCATTTGTTCCTGGCAGAGTAATCACAGACAACATTATCCTTAGCCATGAGCTTGTAAAAGGATATGGAATGAAAGGTATCACCTAGGTGTATGATGAAACTGGATATGCAAAAGTCTATGACTCAGTTGAATGGGCTTTCATGGAACAGGTACTGAATGCTTTGGCCTTCCTAGAGCAATTTGTGAGGTGGATCATGACTTTTATGGAAACTGTCACCTATACAGTTCTGATTAATGGTGCATTGACAAAGCCATTTGAAGCTAAGAAGGGGTTGAGACAAGGGGATCCAATTTCTCCATTCCTGTTCGTACTGGCTATGGAATACCTGACAAGAAGTTTAAAGACATTGAACCAGATCCCAGACTTCAACTATCATCCCAAGTGTGCAAAGATGCAAATCTTGCAACTTGGATTTGCTGATGACCTCTTATTGTTTTGCAGGGGTGACATAGGATCAGTCAAGTTACTATTCCATTGTTTCATGGAGTTTTCAAAAGCTTCTGGACTGATGATCAACAAAAACAAAAGTTCAATATTTTTTGGAGGAGTCACACAAGATGCACAAGAGGAAATCCTAGAGTTTCTAGGAATTCAGCGAGGTGACCAGCCAGTCAGATACCTGGGTGCTCCTCTAAGCTCTAAAAGAATATCAATAGCACAATGCCAACCTCTGATTGAAAAAATAGTGGGCAGAATAACCTCATGGACTGCTAAGTTCCTATCTTATGCTGGGAGGATTCAACTGATAAAGAGTGTTCTGTTCTCTATCCAAACTTACTGGGCACAAATCTTTGTGCTCCCTAAAAAGATCATTAAGCTAATTGAAGCAATCTGCAGAAGCTTTTTATGAAAAGGAGAAGGTAATGTGTCAAAAAAGGCTCGGAGAAAGTTTGTCTTCCCAAATCAGCTGGGGGATTTAATATCATGAACATAACTATCTAGAATAAAGCTGCCATATGTAAACAGTACTGGAACCTTTGCAAAGAAAAGAAGAAGTTGTGGATATAATGGATGCATAGCTACTACATCAAGGATAGGAACATATAGGAAATCCAACTGAAGCAAACATCATGGATGGTGAGCAAGATCATGAAAGCAAAGAAGACATTTATGGATGCAGGATTCAGCTATGATGATATCATAAAGATGAACAACTGTTCGATTAAACTCATGTATCACAAAATGAGAGGAAGATTTGACAAAGTAAACTGGAGAAGAGTTGTTTGTCATAACACAGGATGCCCCAGGTGGACCTTTGTATTAACTATGACAGCTCATGGCAAACTATACATAAGAGACAGACTACAGAGATGGGGAATACAAGTTGAGCAAGATTGTGTCCTATGCAAACAAGCTAGTGAAACCATTCAGCATATGTTTTTCGAATGTCCATATGCAAATGCATTGTGGAGCAAACTGCTAGTATGGCAAGGGATCAAAAGACCAGTGCAGGGATGGGATGAGGAACTAAAATGGGCTGACTAAGAGGAAAAATGCAGCAGCAGAATTATATAAAATGGCATTAGCAGCAGCTGTCTACTATGTGTGGCAAGAAAGAAATATTCGAATTTTCCAAGCTAAGGCAAGAGGATGGGAGATAATATGCAAGCTGATTATACAGGAGATTCATTGTCGAAGTAATAGGTATATAGAGAAAATCCTACGTAGCCTAGATTGTTATCCAATGTAACAGATAGGAAATGTGTAAATAATAGAAAGGTGGTGAGGGGTGAAGCATAGGAAAGTAGGAAAATATGTAAGGGTTTTGTTTTACTTGTAAATATTTCCCTGGTAAATGAAAGCTTTAATTACCAAAAAAAAAAAAAAGCGACTCCATACCTAAAGTTCGAACACGAAATTATCTTATTAAGAATAAAGAAGTAGCTACTACTCTACCACAACCGTTGTTAGTACACTGAATCTATTTTAGAGTTATCAATAGACTATTTTTTGACATAAAGTTCAGCAGAATTTTACGAATTGACAAACTTATGATCTTTCTTTCGAATGTTCCTGTGTGAGAAATTTTCTCAATAGTACGTGACAATTATTCCATTTCATTAATCTAACAACAGTCAAATTTTAATAATTGAAAAAACAAAAAAAATTAAGTAAACAAATGATCCATACAAGTACGGATGACAGATATGTCTAGAAATACCAAATACATAGACGGCCCCTGAACTTGTCTGGATATTCCGTTAAAAGAAAGGGAAGAAAATTGATACTTTTATTTTTGTGGAATAGAAGTCATTCTCCTTTTCAGTCCTGCAGGAGAAAACTTGACGCAACCATTTGTATTGCTTGATTCACAGAAAATCAAAACAGTCACTATAAGAGCTGTGCATACTAGAAGGGGCTTCATGTGTATTGGTAGAAAATAACAAGTATGATAAATTGCCTTATAGTATGAGTTGAAATTCTCTCTACCTCCTAACGGTAGTAGTAAGATTTGCGTACACATTAACCTCCCCAGACCCACTCGTAGGACTTTGCTGGATTTGTTGTTGTTGTATGAGTAGAAATTGTTTCTGAAACACCTAGCAACAAACTTGAGATGCACATATCAGCTCCCATTGAGAGAGGGCAGCTACAAGCTAGGAGAAAGTATTTCTGTTACTTCCACTTTTTTTTTTTTTTTTTTTTTTGCATTTAGCAAATTCCTACACAAGGCAAAGGTGACAGGTTTCAAATTCACAAGAGAATAGTCAGCTGATGGACGGAATGCCACTTCCGGAATTATAACTTGAAATCACATGTAGTTATTACAAGCTGAAGTTTGATAGTTATGCCCAGTAATACATATGCACAAAAACAGATGCACTCGTTACGGAAAAAAAAAACTACATAACTGATAAACTAGAAGGGTAAACAAGAAACACTACCACACCTGGTTTGCCTCATCTAATCAGCCTCTATTCCCCTGAAATATCCGGTTTTACAACCTCGGGGTGTGACTGATTGTTTTCTTCATTTGTAGGGGCTATAGCATGGCTTTCACATGCATTTAAAGACGGCTTCTCTAAATTGGCTTCACTGATATCAGCAACATTGGGCAGGCCACTTCCTTTTTCAGGTGTTTTAGGCAGTTTTTCTCCAGCCTTTGGAGCTGTATTGGGCAGGCCACTTCCATCTTCAGGTGTTTTAGGTAGTTTTTCTCCCGACTCCAGAGCTGCTTCCATTTCCTCGTACTTGGAAATGACTTGTTGAAGCTCATCATGAAGATTTAAAGCTTCAAACATCAACCCCTCATCACCTGAGGTTGATTCCACAATTCTTTGTATAATAGCCAAAGACTGCTTGCAGTTCTCCAACATGCTCACCGCCAGATCATCCTTCAGTAACACAAACTTATCAGCTTATTCATGTCCCAGAAGGCCTCACCGCCCGCCTATCAGAACACCCACCCACCCACCCCCCAGAGAGAGAGAGAGAGAGGGAGGGGGGGGAGGGGTTTCAATTTCTTTCATGGAACACAAAATATGTCAAATAACACGCAAAAGGAAGTTCTAACAACAGAATGTTTTTTGTAAAAATTTACCAACATGGCTTGATCAACTCAGCAATGATGTTGCTTAGACTTAAACATTAGTTTAGTATGATGTATAAAGAAAATAATAATGGTATATAGTTTGGCATAACAATGTTTGGTTTTGATTTTGAATTATATATAACTAATCCTTGTATAACTTAATACACCAATTGGTGCATTATTTTATACCACCACCAACATAGAATAACTAATCCATATATAACTTATACATGGATAAAGCACCAAAGGGACAAAATTCTCCGTGTCTTTTTCCTAGAAGCCAATAAAGGCCAAGTACCCAAAGGTATAATTGCAAACTCATTACTTCTAAGTTTAAAAAATAAATAAATATTTTAAATGATATCTCGTATATCTAATTTTAATGCAACGAACCAAACATCCAACAAGGAATATTCCTTGTATTACTAATCCATGTATTACTAATACCCACACAAACTAATCCTTGTTTTCCCTGTATAACTTGTCTTCGTACCAAACGACCTAAGCCCCGTCGTAGGTCATTTAATTTTATCACCAGATATTTGCTCTTACTTTTTCACTTTCTTCTTCTTTTTTTGGCACAGCTTGCGCACGCCTCGACTATTTCACTTGGTGGGAAACCAAAAAAGAAGACTAATCCACTGGGTACCGCTACTTCACTTTTAAATATGATCATATTCAAGTTTTAGGGGTAATTACACTGACCTCAGTTCCAGTTTATCATAAGTCAAAGAACTCCAGCTAGCTTTTTATCCCGTAAAAGAAAAATTCTTTGACAATATTGGGAAAAAATGCTCCCGTAGTATACGGAAAGTAGAGAAACCTACAAAAATAAATGGTTCTCTTAAAGACACCCAATCCTCTATACAAATAGGAACCTCATGGGCACACCAAAAAGACATTAAAGATAAAAGGCTATTCTTCAAATGCACAAAATCATGCTCGATTCCTCCAGCTAGCTTCAAAGTTTCACTTACATTCCCAACTAAGTGTTGCAGGTCTTAAACTAATTGTGTTAGTTTAAAGTGTTCATTTTCAACTTTAGCCATGGAACATCATACAGTAAAAGTTCTATTTAAAAGTAACCATAGTAAATATACTTGATTTATCTCTAATTACTATAGGTTATCTAATAAATCTTACTGTTAATGCAGCATAAAATATACTTCCTCTCCATATCATGTAGTAATTTAAATTAATGAGTTTACAAGGAAAAGTTACGCTTTCACCCCCATTAGTATAATATTAATGACTATTATGCCACTATAAAATAATTTTGATCAAGGACAGTTCTTTTAAGACACTAGGAAATATGGAGATTCATAATTATGACAATTCTCTAATCCAAAATAATTAGTGATAGTCGTGAAATTTATAAGCCAATATGACTTTAAAAAGGGGAGGTTTTGGTAATGCTATCTTAAACTAAAGAAAGAGTGGTGGAATTCTGAAAGGTAGAGAGGAACTCCTTGGACTATGATGGTCAACAGGAAGTATTATTCAAACAAAGTTCTGACAAAACCCTGCCATAATGAAAAACACTGTCTACGAGAAGGAGGATGGCATGGAGTGGAGAATTACTAAAGAAAAACACGTGCATGCAGATGTTAGATGTCAGTAGTTTTTGGTTTATTCCATTATTTTGGAACCTTTTATAAAATGGTTTGATAAAGTATAATTTACTTGCCCACCTTGAAATCAAAAAAATATGTAAATACCTTTTAGCCTGCGTCCTTAGCCTACATCCCCCCAACCCCCCACCCCGACATAAAATAATATGTCAATTATTCGGATTTTGGACCTCCCTTCTAGTTCAAGGAAACTAAATAGACCTTCATTTTAGTTTAAATAATATCATAGGCTCTCTAATGTTAAAAATCTTCATATTTTGTCTGTGAAATGCTCCACCCAGATGGTTGATGTCATCAATATGCTTAACTTTCATCCCGTTGATACCCTCCAAAAGACACTCTTCCTTTTCTCTAGTGAGCTTTGATCCCCTCACACACACACATAAACTCCACTTCTCTTGTCAACTCATATTTGTCACCACCATCCTTGAGACCTTAAACCAAACCTTTGACACATATCCACCTCGAGTCCTCGACACCTATCATGGCCCTACTGCTGCCTTGTTCATCTCATCCTGAAACCCCTTTAGGGTTTTCCTTTTCTTTCCTTCTTTTGTCCATTTAATATTATTCTTCATGATTGAATGAAAATGAGGTATTCGATTTTCTAATTTCTACTCCTATGCTTTTTGGTGGAAGTAAAAGAATGTTGATTCAAGTTGTGGGGGTTGTTAAAAATAAAGATGGACCTTCGGCTTGACTCAATGCCAAAGGCTAACTTGTGATGTGAGGATTGCCCAAAACCATATAAGGAGACAACAACTCATTTCATTAATCAACGTGGGACATTCTAACCCTCCCTCCCCCCGCATGCCCAGGGCTGGACATCTGGAGTGTGACAATACAACATGGGAGCGGCAAGTCTAATACAATCTTAAGTAGATGGATAATTCAGTCTAGCTCAACCCCCAAAGTTAGCTAGTAATGCAATGCTTTGCCCAAAATCATGCAAGGAAACTCAAAATTCAATCAATGTAGGAAATTCTAATAGGGGCTAAGGAAGAAAATTATGGGAGAAAAGCTTCTCAAGAATTTGGAGATGGGTGAAGCAAGCTGTTGGACAAGAAGTAGAAGAAAATTTATTCCATAGAAATGTAGTAAGGTTATATCATGAATCTGGCTGATCTATTCATATTTATTGAGAATGTAGCACCAGAATATCTTTGGGCAACTTTTTAGCGGGGAGTTTCAGAGCTGGGTTTTCTTGGAAGCTGCAGTCAGAAGCTCTGTTCTAGTTTTTGTTGCTCGTTATCTTTTGTTTTTCGCAAAACCCCCCCCCCCCCCCTGCTGGCCGGGCTGTACCAAAGGAAAAGATCGTCCCTCAGTGGACCTTGGGCACCCTATGCATAGCTGATGGCAAACAACAATCCTAAAAGCTGAATGACTACAACAAAAGCTATCTCGGATTACATACTTCCGTGTACTCACTATAGAACTAAGGCAGTACTACAATAAAAGAAATTCCAAGTAAATGATGTTTTAATATTGGTATGAATTCTAATCAAAAGACGTAAAATTATCACCAGTCAACTCTGACATTATTAGCAGATTTTTATGTTATTATTTAAACTAGAGGGGAGGTCCATTTTTTTTTGTTAAACTAGAGGAGGAGAGGTCTAAGATATTGATCAAAACAATTTTAAGAAAGGATATCAACCTAAAATAAAAACAAAATCTTAAGTGCTGAAAGTGAATAAATGGTAAGAAATAGAGGTGAAAGATATTAGGATAAATGCTTGTTCTGGGGGTAGTCCACTAAGAAGAGGGTAATTTTTTTTAAAAAGGTTGGTGCCCAAGTCTAAAATGTTGGTTCCTTATAATCAAGTAGACCTTATACACATCTTGTACAACTTCTCTACACTGGCTTGGTGTTTAAAAATGAAATAACTTATCACCCAAAAAGAGCAAAAAGACGACATTGGTTCCTTTTGGTACCAGCATTGAACAAAGCTGTTGCTACTTGGAAGTTAACTTGCTTTAGAGTTGTAGCTTCAGTTCTTTCCGAAATCCATTGCAGAGAATTCAAGGAGAATCATATACACATCTACTACATATTCTTTTATACTGACTTGGTGTTTATTAATGAAAATTTGTTGACTTTATCAAGAAACAAAAAAAACCTCATTGGTTCCTTATTGAACCCAGCATTGAACGAACTCTTTGTTCATAGGAAGCTAACTTGCTTTGGAGTTGTAACTTCAATTTTTCACAATATCGGGCAGCATATTCAAGAACATGGTAGAACAGAAGGTTAAGATATAGCCCTCATGTTAAATTAATATAACAAAGTTTCTTCGATTTTCAACATGGTTCAACAGGCATATGACAGGTCGATGAGCTAAGAGACCTACCTCCTACTGTATAGTAATTAGATCAGAGATGATTGAAAATTGTAAGAGTAGCAATCAAAGCAAGACTTATGAGATAACAGAAATTAAAGAATGACTGGAATAGAAGAAGTGGAAGAAACGAAGGGCAGAGGATCACACTGAATAAAAATTCAACAAGTTAGTGAATTATTACCACCAACATGGAGGAGGTAAGAGAGTAACCTTGATGGGCTTTGGTTCAACTTCAGAAGTCAATATGCTGGAAAGGATCTCAAGACTGTTCCGTGTTACTACAAGAAATTCCTTCTTCTCTTCAGTGGATTCGCCAATGTAAGCTGTATGCTCATGATTCCGCAACCCTGTATGAGGAATAGGGTAGCTTTCAGGTGGTGAGAGTAGCTGCTCATTCATGTGCGACTCCAGGGGATATTGCCTCTTCAAGTTCTATCAAAATGAAAGAAAGTTAAGCGCCTTTGCCCTTTGGATAAACAATGCATGCAATATGCAAAATGTAAATGAAAGCACGATCAATTCAAAGATACTCGCTAGTCTACCATCAAGCATCAAAGTCCATTCAGTCTGATGTTAGAAGTTAGTATACATTGACATAAGACACACCTAAATGGTCTACCACGTGCAGCCCAACCCCTTCCTCTAAAGGTCCCATCCATTCCACCGCATACAGATGTTTTCATCACGTGAACACTAAAACGGAAAAGGGTATGTCTCAATGCAGACACGTCCATGAAAAGGGCAGCATATACGAGCACTTTGATAACATCTCCAATGAGCAGAACCAAAAATTACAACATTCATGCTCCTTAGCCCCTGTAGATATGTTGTTACAGCCATATCTTTTCCACTGTTGTCAAACAAGTTGTCTTGTCCCTGACATCTGCATCTAATAGAGGAAACCAGACTTCTCACCAAAGGTTGTGAGACATTGAAACATAGGTGTCCTGCCGTGGCCTTGTAGTTGAAGAGGCGGATTCATCAGTAGCAGAGTAAGATGAAGAAGTGACAGAAGAAGAATTTATTCATGGTGCAAATGATAAGGTGGCTAAACTGATACAGGGTGACCCTGGAATGAACCTGCTGTGAGAGATTTATTGCCACAAGATATTGCTGATCATGTGATGCAGCAGCTGCCTTTTGGTGATGAATTATGCAGAGAAGGACAGGGCTTGGCGCTCCCCATTTAACTCCCACCCATCCAAAATAATAAAGACTAATGGACGAGAGAGAGAGAGAGAGAGAGAGAGAGAGAGAGAGAGAGAGAGAGAGAGAGAGAGAGAGAACTCCAGATTTTCCTATCTTTTTAAAAAACGTGACAAACATTTCTAACGACTTGCCATTTCTATCGCTAAACAACACCTCCTGTCCCACGTCTCCCCTTTCTCACCTCAAAAAAATCTAATCAAGGAAAAACAAATGAAACAATAACAGAACGCTTTAGTTGCACAAGCAAAAGCCGAGCTTTATGCTCAATATTGCCTCAAGATGCGCATTTTCTAGGCACAACAAATACTGAAGATATTTTGATCTGGAAGGGGACCAGCAAAAAGATATTCACAGTAAAATCAGCTTATACCTTATTGTCAGGAAACAACTAGGGGATAACAATTGGCCTTGGAAAATCAAGGCTCCTTTTAATGTAGTATGCTTTACATGGTTAGCGTCTAGGCAGGCCGGTTTAACCCAAGAGAACCTAAAGAAAAGAGGAATTCAGTTGAGCTCCAGATGTTACTTACGTTCTGCAGAAACAGAGAGCAATAGCGATTTATTTTTGCTTTGTTGTGCAACTTCCCATGCTGTGGCAACTCTTTGTCAGTATGGTTGGACTTAGATGGACTACGCCAAAAACTACAGTAGATATATTAAGATGGTGGCATAATCAGGTTGGCAGCGTAAGGCAGAAAAACTGGTGGAACATGATCCCAGCTTGCATATGGTGGATAGCTAGGAAGGAAAGGAATACCAGGTGTTTTGAAAACAGAAGCAGCCCTATAAGAAGATGAATTGTACGCTGTTGTTTCAATTTTGGTGTAGAGAAAGCTATGTAAATGATGAAGAATCCATTTTAGACATTATAGAATCCTTGTAAGAAGAACAAGGATAGGTTTTTGATTACTTTAAGGAATCCGTACAAAATCACAAGTTTCAAAAATCTTCCTTTCTTCATAAACTCCGTGCCAAGTCAAATTCAAATTGCATCAAATAAATTGGACAGAGTGAGTAGAAGTTTACTTAAAAGCAAAAACATGTCAAGCATATAAAACAAACACCCCATGATGTCTGGAGAAAAAAAAGATTACCAGTACAACCTTTGTGCTGGGTTCTTAATATAACTGTTACCATTCTAACCTTTTTTTTTTTAAAAAAAAAAAAAAAGATGCCCATTTTCTAGTCCTTTAATATTTGCACAGGCCTAGATATAAAATTCAAACCACTATCTTTTTTGCATCTGGTGTCAATTGTCTTAGTACCCTTTATTTTAATAAAAAGACCTAAGCTTGAGGTCAAGTCTTTCTTGACGAAGAGAATGGCGTAGTTAGGTCTCAGGATGAGATTTTGAAAGAGTAACCGCCCAAATGACCCCCCCTACATAAGGCCAATATAAGCAAATAAACAAATGTTTAACACATCTTCATCGAAAAAAACAAATGTTTAACACATGCCTGTACCTCTAGTTATAAAGATATTCCTAATTTGCATTAAAAAGGATTAATTATAGCAAAACAGCATTGAAATGATTTGGACTCAAATAGAGCGGAATGATTACAAAGAATTCATCTAGCCAACTCTAACTTTGTTGAGACTAACACTCTGTTAATTGATTGAATGTTGACAAGTGCTGCTACAAGACATTTCAAATGTACTAAGCAAATATGATAAATGAGAGAGAGAATACAAAATCTACTTATAGTACTTGCCCTTTCCACTGGCACGAAACTGATAGCGCACATACACCAGATACACAAAGAAAGATAAAACATGTCCAAGAAATTTAACCTTTAAGAGTGACGAATTGAAGTAAAAGCACACATTAATCAACCACGGAAGAAGTCTTTATAGAGCATCAAGTAGCCGTGATAAATCAAAAGTTCATGGAAAGTCTAGGAACCGATCAAAAGGTAGAAATCTAAGTTGCTCGGATACGGGTGCGGTATCCAATACGGGGACGGATCCGAGTATCGGATTCGGGCATTCGGCTAAATCTAAATTTTAAGATTCAGGGGTGCGGATCTGGATAGGGATACGGGTGCGAGAATTCGGCTAATAAAAAATAGAGCTATAAAAATATTGTAAATTTTGAGAGATATTCTGTGAAAAAACTTACATGAATATTGTAGAATTCAATCTTTCATTCTCCAAAATGGACATTATTCTTTCATTCTCCTAAATCTGTTTTATTTATGATTTTGAGAAATCAAAATCTTAAATTTTCTCCCAAATTTGTCGATGGACACCGGTCAAAGTGTCCGAAGTCAGTTGACCGAATCCGGGACGTATCCCGCTCCCGTCCCGGTCTCGTATCGGGATGGGGACGGCACCAAAATAGAAGAGTCGGCGCAACTTAGGTAGAAATAGCTACAATCACGGTTAACTCGGTCAATTTAAAAGAGAATGCCCAAAGAAAGGTCGAGGCGAAGAATGATGACAACACAAACAACGATGATTTAGTGGTTCTTTTCATTCACGGGGAATGCATGCACTTCAGAATGGGTTGTGTCACGATGACACAACAACATCATACCATGCCACACCAGTAAATTCTTCTGGAGGTAGAAAGCATGATATTTTGGGACATGTCAAGATGGGAAATACTAGTCACCCAAAGATTGTTGGGATTGGTGACGTCTGTATCAAGACAAATGACGACTGCACATTAGTATTAAAAGATGCGCAGCACATGCCAGATCTGTGAAAAAATTTAATTTCAGGGATTGCTCTAGCTCGAGAAAGGTACGAGAATAACTTCACCAATAAGAAATAGAGACTCACCAAAGGATCAATGGTGATTGCTATAGGAGTTGCTCCCTATACGTTGAACAAGACAACCACTGAGATATGTGAAGGTGGATTACAAGCAACTGTAGATGACACGCCTGCAGATTTATGGCACCGAAGATTCGGTCATATGAGTGAGAAGGGACTGAGATCTTAGCCAAGAAGTCACTGATCTCTTTTGCAAAAGATACTATTGTGAATCATTGTGATTATTTGAAAAATAACATACGATATCATTTCAAGCAACTCATGGAAGAAGATTAAATATACTAGATATAGTATATTCTGATGTTTGTGGTCCAATGGATGTAGAATCAATAGGAGGTATGTAGAATCAATAGGAGGTAACAAATATTTTCTCACATTTATTAATGATACTTCACGAAAATTGTGGGTTTGTTTCTTAAGGACCAAAGACTAGGTATTTCAAGTTTTCCAGAAATTTCATGCTATAGTTGAATGGTGGAAAAGGAGGCATGTCAGAAATTGAAACGTCTCCGGGCCGACAATGGAGGTGAGTATACTTCAAAGGACTTTGAAGACTACTGCTCAAACAATGGAATCAAACATGAGAAGACAGTTCCTCGTAACCCACAACATAATGGTGTAGCTGAAGGCAGTGGCGGATCCAGATTTTGAGCAAGGAGGTTCAAGAAAGAAGTGAACAGTAAATAATTTCGTCGGATGGGTTCATCAAAAATGTTTGTATCTACAAGTAATGTCAAACGGGTTCATCAATAAAATTGGAATCTAAACAAAAATTAAACTATTTATTGAAAATCATGATAACAATATTATATTGGATTAAAACTAATATGGCGTTTTGTGTTGAAGTAATCCTTTTTCCAAAAGAAAAAAGTAATATGCCAATAAAAAAGGGCATTCCAAGGAAGAAAAGGCAAAAAAGTTGTCATGTATAATAAATAATAAACAAAAAATTAACAAAAGATGATTGCAAAAACAACTATTTCAATAATTAAATAAGGCGATATTTAATTTGTTAAAAGAAGTTCACACTTGAAGGCAGACAATGGTTATTTGACTCACTTTCTGCATAATGTACCGTTCGAAGCAATAGAAAGAAAAAATATTTGCGATGTGTGGGAACTGGTATTCGAATTCGCACCCTTAAGGAGAGTTTGAACCCCCTTGATCTCTATGCTTTAGGCTTGTGTTAAGGGGATGCAACATCTAATATATATAAAAAAAAAATTTAACCCTGTATATAAAGTGTAACTTTCTGGCGAAGGGGCCGCCTCCTAGATCCGCCCCTGGCTGAAATGATTTCGCACCATTGTCAAAAAAGTAAGTATTCTCAAAATGGCAAAACTACCTAAGTCATTTTGGGGTGAAGCACCTCGCTCAACATGTTACCTGATTAACAAAACTTCATCCATTCCGTGGGAGTTTGACATTCCAGATAAAGTCTAGACCAACAAGAAGTGCCCAACTCCCATCTGAAAGTGCGAATGTAGAGCTTTTGCGCATATGCCAAAGAATCGGAGAACGAAACTAGATGATAAAACTAGTCCCTGTGTGAGAAGGCACGGGAGAAAAATATATTATTGATGTACTTAACTATAATACAAGTTACCCTATTTATAACAATACACAATACCTACATTACTCCTACTCCATGTAGGACTATGCTTATTTACATAACAACTAACTAACATTCCCCCTCAAGCCCGTGCATACAAATCATATGTACCGAGCTTGTTACATATATAATTAATATGAGGACTAGTGAGAGACTTGGTGAAAATATCTGCGAGCTGATCATTCGATTTCAGAAACTTTGTAGCAATATCTCCTAGGAATATCTTTTCTCTAACAAAGTGACAATCAATCTCAATATGTTTAGCTCTCTCATGGAACACCGGATTTGATGCAATATGAAGGGCAGCTTGATTTTCGCGCACAAGTTCCATTTTGCTGATTTCACAAAATTTCAACTCCTTGGAGCAATTGTTTGATCCAAAATTCCAAACTAGCTCAAATGTACATTCTGTTTCTTGCTCTTTCAAGACACCAAATTGCCTCCTACTAAAACACAATATCTACGTCTGTCAAAAGGTGATCCTGCCCAATAAGCATCTGAGTATCCAACGATCTGCCTATTGCCTTGTCCTCAAACAATAACCCTTTGCTTGGAGCAGATTTTATAAACCGAAGAATACGAACAACTGTATTGCAATGACTATCACAGAGAGAATCCATAAACTGACTAACAACACTCACAGAAAAGGAAATGTCAGGTCTAGTCACTATGAGATAATTTAATTTACTAACCAGGCGCCTATATCTTGTAGGATCGCTAAGCGGCTCCCCTTGTCCTAGCAGAAAGTTTAGAATTCGGATCCTTCCGTTGTGAGATCACAATACCTGAACTAGACTAAGCGACCTCAACACCCAGAAAATACTTTAATCTGCCCATATCCTTAGTTTGAAAGTGTTGAAAGAGATGTTGCTTCAATTTAGTACTATCATCATGATCATTGCTGGTAATAACAATATCGTCAACATAGACCACCAGATAAATACAGAGGCAGAATGCCGATAAAACACAAAGTGATCAGCTTCACTACGAGTTATGCCAAACTCCTGGATAACTGTGCTGAACTTACCAAACCAGGCTCGAGGAGACTGCTTTAGACCATAACGTGACTGGCGCAATCGACATACAAGGCCACGAGACTCCCCCTAAGCAACAAAACCATGTGGTTGCTCCATATAAACTTCATTCTCAAGGTCACCTTGAATAAAAGCATTCTTAATGTCTAGCTGATAGAGAGGCCAATGGCGAACAACCATCATGGATAGAAAAGGCGAACTGATACCATGTGAGAAGGCACAGGAGAAAAATATATTATTGATGTACTTCACTATAATACAAGTTACCCTATTTATAACAATACAATACCTACATTACTCCTACTCCTTGTAGGATTATGCTTATTTACATAACAACTAACTAACACCCTGCATCTTCATCGGTTATAGAGATGAATAGTTCGGCTACAGATTGTGGGACCAAGAAAGGAAGAAGATCATCAGAAGCAAAGATGTGACCTTCACAGAAGAAATGGTCGGGATTCATGGTGATCCAATGTTTTGAATAGCGAGAGGCGACAAAAAGCGACGAGTGCCCGCTCCACTGAGGTGAGAAGCAAGAAGCGAGAAGCGAAGTGCTCGCCTTTTTGCACTGAAGCGCCAATTAATACAAAAAAATTAAAATATTAAATTCGCATATATAAATAACCAAAAACTCAATAATGAAAACGTATTAGCAAATATTTCATTGAATATACTATTTAAGAGAGAAATTAATTGTAATTAAAGAGAAAAAAGAACAGTTAATTGTAATTGTAATTAAAGAGAGAAGTTTATATGCAATTACTTGTACACAAAAATTGAAAAATTAGAATAAAGGAGAGAAACAGAAGAAGAAAGATGAATAGAAAAGAGAGAAAACATAGGTGAAAGAAAAGAAAGAAAGAATAGTTATGTCGGAAATCAGTTGTTGCCGGAAAAAAGAAGAACAAAGAAGATTTACTGCTGGAAGAAGAAAAAGAAAAGAAAGAAGAAAGAAGAGAGGACTTGCTGCCGGAAAAAGGCGCCGGAAAACAAAGGGCTTACTGCCAGAAAAAGAAAAAGAAAGATAGAAGAAAGAAAGAAGAAAGAAGAGAAATCAGTACCTGAAACTCGAAGAAGAGTTGCGGTTGTGCTGAGTGCTGACTGCTAAAAGAGGAAGAAATGGTTTTGAAGAGAAGAAAACCCTAATGTTTTATTTAAGTCACTTGTTTTTTTTTAGTTTAAAAGCGACGCTTTTGTTGCCTCCATGCCTCGTCGCATCGCTGTAGCTTTTCAGAAAACACTACGCCCAAATGAAAATAGCGTTAAGCTTTCGCTTCGCGTTGCCTCACGCTATTAGCGCTGGGGCGAGCGCTATTTACCACATTGTGGTGATCAATCAGCAGAGACCAAAAATGATAATGGTACAATCACTAACTTTGTTACCGCTTCTACTGTACATGTACGTAATCCTTCCACATGTGAAGAATGGCACATGGAAGGCATAGATGAGACAGGTTGCTGAGCAGGGGGAGCAGCCCAGTCCACAAGAGGAAGAAGAAGAGCAACAACAACAAGAAGAAGAAGGACAACAACCTTTGAGAAGATCTAAATGAGAGAAGGTATAATCCACAAAGTATCGTTCTTCATAGTATACCCCGTCACTGATGAGGGGGACAATTTCAAGGAGGTGTTATCTCATCTAGAACAAATCAAATAGATGGAAGACATGCAAGAAGAGATGGGTTCTCTAAAAAAGAAAGGTACGTATGAACTGGTTGAACTTCTAAAACGCAAAGGACCACTCAAGTGCAAGTGGGTCTTTAAGCTCAAGAAAGATGGAAACGGTACGCTGGTCGGATACAAAGCTCAATTGGTGGTAAAAGGTTTCGAACAGAAGAAAGATATTGAATTTGATACAATTTTCTCACATGTTGTCAAAATGACTTCTATTCGAATAGTCTTGAGCATGGCAACTAGCCTAGATTTTGATGTGGAGGAGTTGGACGTGAGAACAACATTTCTACATGGAGATTTGAAAGAAGAGATTAATATGGACATCCACAATCTTTTGAAGTAAAATTCGAAAAAACACACGGTGTGCAAATTGAAAAAGAGTCTTTTATCGGCTGAAACAAGTACCAAGTCACTGGTACAAGAAGTTTGACTCATTAAAGCCACAAGTTTCAAGTCTTATAACCGCAAGTACAAAACCACAAGTTTCAAAAATCTTCCTTCCTTACATGCCAAGTCAAATTCAAATTGCATCATACAAATTGTAACAGAGGAGTAGAAGTATACTTCAAAACAAAAACATGTCAATCATATAAAATAAACACCCCATGTTTTCTGGAACTAGGGTCGTACCATGTAAGTTTGACGAAACACAGGCAAGTATCTAAGATCCTCGGATTCTCCCCAAGCAGTAATAAGCTCCACACCCTTAACCCGACTCCCGGTTTCAGTTTTTGGGTCCACAATCATTTTAACCATATCATCCAACACCTTTTCGGACGCCACCTCCGAAAAAACTTTCTCACAATTAGAAGTACAAGTCTCCAGCAAATCCAAACTCAGCCTCTGGCTCACTGGGCATTTCGACATAACTAGCTTCTTCTTAATCGCTTTGACTATTTCCGTCCCGTTGAACTCTTCGCTGTTGATCATCCCGCAAATTCGTAGGTTTAAGCCCCAATTAGGCTCCTCCATGGTGTCCAACGTGGCTTCATCTACCATTTTAGACTCTGGGGTTGGGCCTTGTAGGATTTCTTTCATTTTTGCGCTTACCATTCTGCTCATTTGAGCTCCTCCTGTCTTCAATCGTTCGCCCAGTGACGAAGATGCCATTTTCAGTTTGTCCAATTTGTCCATGTTTCAGCTGGATATTGGAGCAGTGATTCCAATTTCTATGTCGGACAGGAAGTGTTTCGTGATGGAGGGTTTGACAATTTGGGATTTTAAGGTTGCCGAATGCCGACACCTCCTAATTTTGTTTGTTTTTTAATGTATTAGTCTATGGTTTACTTTTCTCCATTGGATAATTCAAAGTAAGGAAATTTACATTATTTGTCCCTCAAATATCGATTAATTATAATTTTGATCCAACCGTCATATGAAAAAGCAGAGAAAATGATCCCTAATGTATGTGCTTTGAATTCATTTGGTCCCTCATGTATAACTAAGGCTGTATGGCGGGCCGGTCTGGGACCGGGACCGGACCGGGCCCGCGGTCTTAACGGGCTAAACGGTCCCGGCGGGCCGGTCCCTGATGGTGTAGAAAGCCCGTGGCGGGCTGGTCTCTTGCGTGAGGCCCACGAGACCGGGACCGCTAAGCCCGGGACCGGCAGGCGGTCCTGGGCCGGTTCAACCGGGCCTAACGGTCCTAACGGGCTCCAACGGCTCTTTTCTTAAAAAAAAAATTTTTTTTTTTTTTAAAAAAGACCAACTGTCAGATTTTAAAATCTAGCCGTTGGCCTTTAATTTTCAACCGTTTGGAACTTTAAAAAATAGTCATTTGGCCCCCAAACTTTATTTTAACACCAAACTTTATATAATTACACTTTTTTCCAATTCTCAACTATAAATACCCCCTCATTCTTTCATTTTTACTCACCAATTCATCAATCTATCTCAATCTCTCTCAATCTATATCTAATTTCTCTTCTATAATTGCTTATTTTATTATTGCAATTTCGTGAAAAATTGTGAAGTTGGTGAATTGAAGTATTCAAGTCTTCAAGTCTTCAACGATTGTCAATTTTCAAGAAGTTGTTCGGCAATTCGGTAAACTCGTTCCAACTCTTAACTTTTAAGAATATATTTTTGTGTGTTTAGTTTGCATAATTGTAATTAATATGGCATTTTCTTTGAAAAAAATATTTGGTGGTAAGGGAAAAGCTAAAATTGGTGAAAGTAGTCTCCAACCTACTACCCTTCCCCCGGCTCCCCGACCCAGACCTATTACACGTCCTACTGCTCCTATTATTCTTGATAGTGATAACCCTTGTTTTCACTTTCCGATAGTGAATTTTGCCATAATGTTGCACTAGGTGAACAATTAAATGAAGAAGTTATGAATGCTCTTTATCCTAATCAAACTATCTTAGAAAATGATGAGGAAAATGAGGATGTAGATGAAACCCAACCGGATTTAGATGATACACCTACTAGTCCTGTTAATAACCCAACTGATGCCCCGCCCGACCCACCTGTAGAAACCCCTACTTTTAATAGACAACCTTCTAAACGCCTAGAAACATCAATAGTTTGGAATTTTTTTACTCAAGTAAGAGAACAAAATAAGGCTAAGTGTAAAACTTGTGGGAAATTGCTGGCGCATAAATATACTGGAGACCGTAGCGGTACGGGTAGTTTGGCTAGGCACATACAAACACACCCTAGAGATAAAGTTAAATATTTACAAATAAAAGCGCAGCAAGAGGGGACAAGTGTAGATACTGCGGTTAACCCTAGTACAGGATCAAATCTAGTTCAACCAGGAATTAACACTGTGACCGGTGGTATTTTATATTACGATCCTAATAAAGATCGTGAAGAATTAGCAAAGATGGTTACCGTTATGTGCTTACCATATACTTTTCCTTCTAACCCTAATTTTGTGCATTATATTAGAAAAGTTTTTAATCCTACTTATAAAGGTTGGCCTCGCGCAACAGTTAAGAGCGATATTTATAAATATAAACATGAATATGAACAATATTTGCGGTATTTATTTACTCATATAACTAATCGGATTTCTATTACTACTGATATTGGTAGAAGTAATAATGACTGTGATTATCTAACTGTTACAAGTCATTGGATAGACGAGGAGTGGATAATGCAAAAACGCATTATTGCGTATAGAATAATTAATTCACGTCACACAGGTAAGTTTATTGCTAACACTGTTGCAGATATTTGTAGATATTTTTGCATTAGAGATAAAATAATGGCAATTTCTATGGATAATGCCTCTAGTAACACTAGTGCTATAGGCATACTTACAACAACACTAAATCCTGCATTTAGTAATTGTTTCCATGTGAGATGTATTTGTCACATTTACCATTTAATCGTCGGTGATGGTATGAGAATTTTAAATTTAGAAATTGAAAAAGGTTAAAATGGCTCTTAATTGACTTTTTTATTCAAACCGTAGAAGTAGACTTAGAGAGTATTTTAAAAAATGTGATGAATTTGGCCTTAGAGAAAGAAAGGTTCCTAAACTTTGTCCAACTAGATGGAATTATATGTACGAAAGTTTAGTAGTTGCATATGAATATAGAAACTCAATTAATGCAACGTTTAATGCTCGTGTTGGTGGTGAGGATGATGATGAAATCCTTACAAATCAAGATTGGACGAATGTAAAAATTCTTATAGATTTTTTAGAACATTTTCAATTTGCTACAAATGCATTTTCTGGACAATATTATCCTACTATTTCAAATTGTTTAGTTTATATTGCAGCACTATGTGATTTGTTTGTTGAATTTTCGGAGGGTGGGGAAATTTATAAACTTGCTATAAATGCAATGAAAGAAAAGTTTAAAAAATATTTTTTCCCTATCCCCCCTATTTATGGTGTTGCTGCAATGTTAAATCCTACAATGAAATTAGGAGGTCCTCACTTTTGGTACTCAAATATTTATAAGGCTTTAGATCTTTCAGTTGAGGAATTTTCTACACTTGCAGAGGCAAAAGCCTCAATTAAAATAAATGCTCAAACAATTTATAATGCTTATCAACTTGCGTTAGATCATGCTAGGCCAAATGTTCCAACCCCTACTTCGTCTAGTTCACAATCATCTAAAAGAGCTGCGGGCCTAAAAGCACTTAAATCTTGGACGGAGTTTAGGGGTTCTCAAGGTGATAATTTTGATGAGACTTCACATCTAAATGAGCTTCAAGTTTATTTGTCGCAGGGACTTGAAAAGGAGAATCCAGACGACACCTTTGATCTTTTGGAATGGTGGAAGGCAAGGGAAAAACATTTTCCGGTTCTTGCAAGGATGGCTCGGGATATTTTATCTATTCAAGCTTCAACAGTTGCATCAGAGAGCGCTTTCAGTCAAGCAAGACTTCAAATAGGTGATCATAGAGCGTCTATGAGGGAGAGCTTGGAAAAATCAGTACTATTCAGAGATTGGATCCGCTCGGAAAGAAGAAACTTTGGACTTGCAGAATCACAACCGGAGATAGACGAAGCTTATGAAGAAATGATAGCGGAACTTGCGGAGGATGCTGCTTCGCCCGGAAGCGGTGATAAACAAGCTTCTTTTCCGCCACCACCAACGGAACCTCCTCCGAACCTTGAAGGATTTATGAGATTTGTTAGAGATACAATGTAGGTTATGGTGTAACTTGTACTTTGGCATATCTTCTTTAGTTTTTTTTCCTTTTAATGGTGATATTAGTACCTTGTTGTGCTCATTCCATTGGGGGGAAGAAGACTAAGAAAGATATGCCATTTTTGGTAATAAAAATTATAAGACATGCCATTGAATATCTCTTTGCAATATTTTTTTGTCTTTAACTTGCAATTATTTATAAGCTATAATATATATACATAACATACAATATATACTACAAGAAAATATATAAGGGAATATATATACATAACATACTATATATAGTATACTATACTAGTATACTATATATATATATTATATTTACATGAAGAAGTAGTACTATATATACTACAAAACAAGATTTTTCAAAATGAGGGCCCCACCCCCAATGACCACCAACGGTCATATTAATTGCACAAATAGCCGTTTTTTTTTCAATTTACAAAACTAACCTTCTCTAACACTATAAGTACCCCCCTCCTTCTTCTTCATTTCAATACTCAATACTCATTTCTCAATCTAAATTTCTCTCAATCTCTCAATCTCCAATTTTCAAGACTTCAAGTCTCAATCTCAATTTTCAAGTTAAATCATGCCTCGTTCGGAAAGAGTGCGCTTATTTGTTTCGCAATACTATGAAGTGCTTGAAGAAAATGAAGAAGGCCAAATATTAAAGTGCAAGAACTGTGGAAGAGTCTTAAATTTTCGTTCAGGGTGTACCACAGGCATTTTAAGGAGGCATATAAAGTATTGTGTTGAGGGTATTTATCCGCAAATTCGTCTTTAAGATTTTTCAACAATTTGTGTTATTTTAAAATTATTAGACGTATTTATGCTTCATGTTGTACTTTGTTATTAATTTATTATGCATGCCAATTTAGTTTTACTATTGATTTGTTATTTTACATTTTCGTCAAACACTTTAATAATTAGATTTCTATATTATATATACTACATATATTTATATAGCCATGCATAAGAGCAATTTATATATATACATACACATATGGTTTACAAGAAATTGCCTTAAATAAAAAAAATTAAAAAAAAAGCCCGGAAATAAAAAAAGCCCGTTAGGCCCGCTAAGCCTACGAGCCCGGCCCATTTAGCCCAGGACCATATGGGCTTAGGCCCGTCACGGGCTGGTCCTACCCCGTTGAGCCCACGAAGCCCGGGACCGTGAAGCCCGGGACCGCCAGAGCCCGGGACCGCTAAGCCCAGACCCGTTTAGCCCGGCCCGTTTAGCCCATTTAGGCCCGGGCCCGGCCCACCATACAACCTTATGTATAACACCTAATAGAAAAAACGGAAAAGGGCCAAAACTGCCCCTAACCTATTTGCTTAAGTTTAAAAATATCCTCCGTCCACCTATTTTGTAAAAATTGCCCTTACCGTTAAAAAACTGGCCCATTCATGCCCCTAACGTCAACTTTTCGGCCCACTTATACCCTAAAAACTAATAGCCCTATTTTGATTTTAAAAAAAATTATTATTTATTATGTATTAATTTTCTATTGGCTTAAATTAAAACCTCACCCCGTATCCACTTATTAGCCTACTCCGTCTTAGATTTTCACCCTTCAACAGCCACGGATCTCCCTCTCCATCTCAGATTTTTCGGCCTTAATTTAATTTTTAAATTAACAATTT